TGCTTAGTAATACCAGAATTCTTGCAGGCTGCAGGTTGTAGGGAGGGCGGTGCCAGGTGAACAGCAAAGAACAGAATCTGCATGTCAAAGCAGCAGTGTAGGAGGCCTCCCTGGGGATTCAGGGAACCATAGTTGAGAGGAGCCATAGAGGACCAGAGGGAGGAGACAGCAGCACAGAGCCCCGTGGGGCCCCAGGCTGAGCATCTGCTCTCAGCAGAAGGCTCACTGCCAGCTGCCATCGGTCAGAACAGATGCTGACCGCCATAAAACAGGAGAGGTGAAGGAAGAAACCATGTTTCATACTCACCTGGACAGGACTCGGTGCATCATGTAGTCCTTGCTGTTCACCCCTCACCTGTACCCTCCTCGCTATTCTGGAGTTTTCCAGGCCCTCTAAGCCTACTCCTGCCATGCTCTTTCATTGGGCAGACCCTTTTCCCAAGGTGTGTGTTTCCCCAAGTTTGTCTTTACCTGGGCGTGCTGTATCCTTCCCCAGGTGTGCCCTTCTCCAGGTCCTCTTTCACCCAGAGTGACCTCCACCCATACATACCGCCCCCCAAAGGCTCCCCCATCTGCGGGACACTTGGGTCTGAACTTTCTCTAGGATTCTGCTTGGCTCCACTGCCACGCTCTTCTCCCCACCTGCTGAAAGCACAGCTCCCATGGTCTTCCTGCCAAGTCCATGCATCCAGTGACGGTCTGCTCCTTATTCAGGTGTGGTCAGTGATAAAGTTCCTTAAGGTGCATTTTCCAAAAAATAAATTCTTCACTGTGTCTTCAAACTCAAAACAGTGCCAGCCCATCACGGTGCTCAGAGTTTATCCAAAGTTCACAGATCTGGGTACTGCCTGCCTCACTGCACCGAGCTTCTGGGATACAGGGTTCCACATCTTTCACAGTGGCTGCTTGTTCCAATGCTGGCGGAGTTTGATGGCCTATCTGCCACAACATGGCGACGCGACAACGGGAGTGATTCTCCCAGGTGCCTGCAGTCATGGGAAACTGGTGTGGGAGAATTGTCTGTATTCTGTCAATCTTATTTTAATAAAACGCTGATTGGCCAGGCATGCAGTATAGATGGGAAAGCCAGACAGGAAGTAGGGGTGGAGCAAAGAGACTGGGAGTATTCTGGGTCACAGGAAGCTCCCTCCGCCACTCCTGTGCAGAACACCGAAGCAGCAACACGTGAGCTGACAACTGAAAAAGGTACCAAGCCACAAGGCTAACATAGACAAGAATTATGGGTTACCGTAAGATGTAAGAATTAGCTAATAAGTAGCCTGACCTAATGGGCCAGTCAGCTTTATAACTTATAGAGATCTCTGTGTGATTGATTTTCTCTGGGACTTGCCAGCTGTGGGGTACTGGGCGGGACAGAAACCCCAACAAGCCGGCCCCTCATGTTACAGGGCACTAATTTCCTGCACCAGTTTTGTGTCTGTGAACGTGGTTTCTCTGGAGTGTGGAAGAACTGGACTTGTGCTCTGTGACCAGTAATGACATTCTATGAGCCCACAGTGCCAGTTCCAGAGGGAGCCCACAGGTTCCCACACAGAAGGAGTACCCATAGCCACCCTTACTGGAACAGCCTTAGAGCACAACAGAGCCTGGGTCTTTGACATGCAGTGGTGGTCACTCAACCTGAGTTACCAAAGCCTAGCCTGACTTGGAAACCCGAGCCTGCCCCTTTCCCTCCCTCCCTTTCTCAGCTGAGACCCAGCTTCCCAAGCCAGCAGGACCTACCAGGGGTGGGTTGTCCTGTTCTTGCCTAACTGGATCCTGCCTGCCAACCCTCATAGCTATGTGCAATTGAGAACATTTCAAATTGCTGGGACCCAGGGGGCTGTCTGGGGTCATGAATTTATCTATAGAAGGAATGAGTTCATCTCACTGCAAGCGGGGAATGCATGGGTGTTATGGAGACTGAGGTGAGCTAACAAACGTCCCTTTCTGGGCTCTGCTACAGGAGGGAGACTCATGAGTCAGGCAGCTAACAAATCCACAGGACACATGGCAACTCTCACTGTGCCTGTCTCCTTGGATGCCTTTGTTCTCCTCTGAGCTCCCTTTGCTGAGGCGGCAAAGTCTGAAAAGCCGGCTGCCTGTGAGGAGAGAGAGAGAGAGAGAGGTAACACAGGAATCCGCCCATCTTAGTAGCTAGTTTCCCTGCTCTAATCTGTCCTGGGGCCTGATTCCCAGGACAGTGCCCTTCCAGGCAATGGCTGCCTGCTGCGATGTTCTGTGCCTCCGCCACTTGCCTTTGGAGTGAGGGAGCTAGGGAATTTGCAGCGTTGGCATTCTCAAATGCTTCCACCTAGAAGGGACATTCTCAGAGCTGCTGGCAAAGACGGACTATAGAGGAGAAAGGCTTCCAGGGAGATATAAAAAAGCATTTGGGCTGTTGGGGTGCAAATGTCTACACCGCCGCCACCTCACATATAAATAAATATGTTAACACCTCATGGGACTCAAAGCGGAGGCAGACGGTGCCTGTGGAGGAGCTCCAGTGGTCAGGACAATGACACCCACAACGGGCACTAACTCCACACCTCTGACAAGAGTCCAAGCAGAGATGGCTTAGTGGCCTCTGAACTGTCCAAGAGGACCTCATATTGGCTATGACTGACATCAGTTTGGAGGCCTTTTAACTAAGTAATAGCTTTCTGTGGGATCAGTCCCATGACAAGCTAGCCAGTCCTTTTCTGTGGTCTCTGTGGGAGATGGGGTGAGCAGAAGGAGCCAACTGTACCTGTAGGGTGGGTTTGCTCACCCACTCAGAGATGCCGGGTGGGTCTGAACACTGACTAGCAAAGGAAAGGGACATCCACTCTGAGAGGGACAGGCCAGGAAAGACACTGTGAGGAGGGGCTGAAGGATCAGTGACATCGTGGAAAGGGGTCCTCAGGCCCCTGCCTCCCACTCTCTGTCCGATTTCAATCATCTGCCCCAGTGTGACCCTTGTCAGCCTCAAGGAATCGGTTACCTCATCCAGGGTTGATAGTGTCATCCACAACCACCCTTGAATTTGACTGTCCCACTTCAGCAGATGACTTCAGCAAGAACGTCCCAACAAAGATGACCTTCCTTTGTTCTTCAGAGAGAACAGAGAAACCATAAGGTAGAATCTCTTTTACCAACAGAAACGCAGACAAGGGAAAGCTACCATCCATCTTCATACCCATCCATGGTGGCTGGAAAGAAGACGATCCAAAGGGAGTGGCACTATTAGGAGGTGTGTCCTTGTTGGAGGAAGTGTCATGGAGTCAGGCTTGGAGGTCTCATACATGCTCAAGATTCTGCTCAGTGTCATAGACTACTTCCTATTGCCTATGCAAGATGTAGCCCTCTCAGCTACCTCTCACGCACCATGTCTGCCTGCATACTGCCATGTCCCACCATGATGACAGTGAACTGAACCTCTAAAAATGTAAGCCACCGCAATTACATGTTTTTCCTTTATAAAAGTTGCTGTGGTCATGGTGTCTCTTCACAGCAATAGAAGCCTCAGCTAAGTTACCATTGCTCCTCCTCATCTCCTCCTGCCCTTCTTTCCTTCCATCCATCTGTCCATCTATGAATTCACTCATCTATACATCTATTCTTACACTTGTTTTTCATCCTTTTCTCCCTTCTACCCATCCCTACATATCTACACACACATCCACTCCTTCCTCTTCCTTCCTCCCCCCTCCTTCCTCCCTTTTCTTTCCTCGCTCCTTCCTTCCTATTTCTTTTCTTTCTTCCTCCTTCATCCCCTGTTCCCTCCATTCCTCCCTCCAGCCCTTTCTTCCTGTTCTGTTTTTTTTTAATATTTTTATGGTTTATTTATTTTATGTGCATTGGTGTGAAGGTGTCAGATCCCCTGCAGCTGGATCTTCAGACAGTTGTGGTCTGCCATGTGGGTGCTGGGAATTGAACCCGGGTCCTCTGGAAGAGCAATCAGTACTCTTAACCACTGAGCCATCTCTCCAGGCCCTCCTGTTCTGTTTTTTATTTTTGTTTTGTTTTTGTCAATTTTACACAAGCTAGAGTCATCTGGGAACAGGAACCTCAGTTGAAAAATGCCCCATCAGATTGGCCTGACTGATGTGTAAGGGTGCAGTCCACTGTAGACAGTGCTAGCCCTAGGCAGGTGGCCCAGGGTTATTAAAGAATATGGCTGAGTAAGTCATGGGGAATATGCCAATAAGCAATGCTCCCATGGCTTCTGCTTCAGTTCCTGCCTTGAGTTCCTACTCTGACTTCCCTTCATGATGGACTGTGATTGGAATGAGTAAGCCAAATAAACCCTTTCCTCCCCAAGTTGCTTTTGGTCATGGTGTTTACCACAGTAATAGAAAGCAAACTAGGGTGTTTCTCCTAGTTAGTTGTCTGTTCATCCATCTATGGGCTTCTCTATCTATCTATCTATCATCTATCTATCTATCTATCTATCTATCTATCTATCTATCATCTATCTATCATTTTCATTTATTTTTCCTTCTACCCACCCCACACATATCTTCACTCTCCCTCCCCTCTCTCCTGCTCTCCCAGTTAAGGTGTCAGGAAGACTCCTCCCCAATCTCTCTGTTGATGGCTCCCCCACCCCACCTCACCTCCACCCCATCCTTCTCAGGAGCTGCAGAGATAGCAAATTCTTTCTTTTCTTGTACAGCCAACTTTCCCCTCTCCATTTAGGTCTTTCCCTGTGGCTTTGAAACTCTGCATCCCCTCCTTAAGCCCATTCCCCTTCTCACTTGCCATCTCTTTACCTTCCCCTCCCAGGTCAGACACTTCAAAAGCGCCCAGCCTCTGCACCAGCTCTGGTCATCAGTGGAACGCAGTTCCCTCTCTGAGGTTACAGAGGACCTCCAGCCAGCCCTCAGGCAGCCACTCTATCTCCCAATCTGACCTGCTGGTCTCACACACCTACCTGCACACAGTCTCGGCACTCCCTCTGCCCCCATACCATACACTGCAGACCTCAGCTGACTAGGCTGCCCGGTTTCCTTTGCCTAGCAGGTGGCTTTTAGCTCACTCAGCCACTGGGAATCTCTGGGTACAAGGACGAGTGAGCTGAATGGATGAGCTTCCCCGACATCACATGCCAGGTAAATGCTGCGCCACAGAGCCACATGCCAGATGCATGTCTAGGTCTGCCTGCACCATGTCCTCTCTTCCTGGAGTGTCCACGGATGAGCATGGCTTCCTGCTGTCATTGTCTCCTTAACTCTACCACGTGCCTGTCACTATAACATCACGTGAGCCTCCTTCATTGTGTCTCTGGGGTTGGGCTCCCTCCTGACCCTGACGCAACCTCTGTGCTACGTCCATTCCTAGCCTTCCCTGGGCATGTGCCAGGAGACTGACCTGCAAGGCCTGTGCCTGCAGCTGAGTCAAAGAGAAAGTTCTAGCTAGTCAGAGGAGGGAGGAAGGGAGGTGTATTAGGCAGGCCGCCATCATAGTAACAAAGTCACTGGCTGACGAAGAGAAAGGGTTGTTTCAGCTCACTCCTTTGGATGTTTCAGTCGGTGATCACTTGGCCCCTTGTATGGGCTTTGGATGAGGGCAGCACAGCGTGGCAGGGGCACAGGAGAGCGAAGAGCTTCCTCATGGGACAGGGAGCAGAGGAAAAGGCAGATACCAGGGTCCCACAGTCCCGTTGAACCAATGTCCCTAGACCTTCCACGGAGTCTGCCACATAAAGGTTCCTCCGCTTCCCAGTGTTACCAGTCTGAGGATCAAGCCTTGAACTCATCCTATAGCAGAACAGGAGGAGCTGGGGTGTCCCCTGGGTCCCCTGAGGCTGCGATGTCACTTGACTGTGGCCACCCCATGTGCTGTCCTCTGGGATCTAATGCTCCAGACTCCTGCTCCTCAGGGCCTTGGGGACTGGAGACCACAGCTCTGCCCCTGGCTCTGGGATGGGCTGCCATCCTGGGCTCCGGGTCTGGTACTACATCTTGTCTCGGTGTGCCGGGCTCCTGCCTCTACTCCTGTAGGATTTTATCACTGTTTCTGCTCCAGAGGTAGGGACACAAGGTCAAATGGATCTTTTATGTTTTTTCTTTTTAAATGCCAAATGGTTGGGTTATGAAATTGAGGTGATGGTCGGTGGAAACTGCCTTTTCAGTTTTTGTTTTGTTTTATGAGACAGCATCTCATGTAGCCTAGCGCCCTAGGAAACCAAGGATGACCTTGAACCTCTAATCCTCCTGCCTCCATCACGTTAGTCATTTCCAAACCTCCTGTTCTCCACATTCAGCAAGTTCCCTGTTACGTAGTGGTTCCTGCCACCCATCACCCCTCCGCTCACCCCTCATCCTCCTGCCCCCATCGTCCTGCTCTGCCCATCACCAAGGTTTTCCAATTTTCCAAGTTGAAACCATCCACTTGAAACCCAAGCCTCCCCAGTCCCGGCTCCACAAACTCCCCTCTTGTAACTCTGAGTGCTCAAGGGGCCTCACCTATGTGGAGTCATTAGGTCCCTCTGATTCTGGCTTATTCCAGTATATTTTAGTTAATATGACTTAACCTCATTCAGTATAACAAGCTCAAGACTCATCCAAGCCATCACTGGACCGGGTTTCCTTCTTTTTTAAAGTCTGAATTATATCCTCTGAATATAATTTAACATTAGATTCTCAATTACTTTTTCTTATATAAAGTAATTGAGAATCTAATGTTAATTACCAAGATGCTTTGTGAACTATCTTACAAAATCGTAAGTGTTATTACTACTGGGACACAGGGTCCAGTGACACTGTTGCCAGTGACCCCTGACCTTTCTAGCTCCTCTACTGCTGGCTGGTGACCTAGATTTCAAACTTTCCAGCTGACCCCGCCCCTCCCTCCATGCACCCTGAACCTTCCTCTCTGCTATCTTGGCTGGGATGTCCTCATTTCTTCTTGATAAGTTTATCGCAGCCCTGCCCAACCTGTGATCCAGACCTCTCTCTTAGCAGCTCTCCTCTCTCCTCTGACCCCTGCTGTGTACCCCTGGGTGGGGAAGGCAGCACCTGTCCCTCTCTGTGTCAGACTCAGTGGTCATTTGCAGGTCTCCTGCTCTCTTGGGCACCGGGATGTTCAGAAAAACACTGAGATTTGACCGAGCATGGCCCACAGGCTCCGCCCACCGTTGCAGAGATATGGCATTACGAAAGACCTCGAACTTTCTGAACACACCTCATCTCTTTAAAAAGAGAGATGTTGTGTTTTCAGGTGGTCACATGGGCTGTGGTTCAAGGCAGAGTTACAGCGAGGCCTGAGGCCAACACCCATTTTACATTCTGTGTCAAACACATGGTGGGCTCTTCTAGGGAGAAGTGAGATGGACCACCGTCACCTCTGGAGAAAGGTTCCAAGGAGTGGGGTGTTAGCTGTGGCTTACAAGGTGGGAGGCCAGTGTCTGAAGAGAAGGTCCCAAGAGAGGAGAACTCTGCCCCCAAAAAGAAAGTTTGTAGCTAGGCTTGGTGACACACACCTGCAATCCCATTCCCAGAAAGCTGAGCTAAGGGATAAGTCTCCAGGTTCAGGCTAGCCTGGACGTACATGGTGAGACCCTGTCTCCACAAAACCAAACAAAGTTTGGGTCACTTACCCTGCTCACCTTGACTTCCCAAGGCCACAGTCCTGGTTAGGTTAATGTTTCCTCGTACTTGGTGAGTTCCAGAACCAGCTGAATCATGCTTATACAACAGAAAGCGAAGCTGGTCTGCCCCTCTACTCACCTGTGCCCTTGCCTGCAGCCGGGCAATCCCTCATAGCTACCTCAGGATTAAGCCGCAGCCCTTCCACCATCCCACCATCCCCTGCATCTCCTCACGCCTCCATCCCTTTACCCACAGCCTAGAAACAGGCCAGTACCTGCCATTCTTCCTGGGGACCTAGTCGCAGGGTCCGACAGAGAGCTCCAGCCCATCCACAGCCCCCACGATAACTCTTTAGCATCCTTAACAGAGACGGTTGTTTAAGACAAAACAGTGAGTTCTTGCTCCCATAGACAGAAAATCGTTCTGGAACTCTGATGTCAGAGTGTGGTTTACGCTAGGACACATGCACCACCCCCAAATAACTGCTGGACACTGCTAGCATGGTGACCTGGGGTGGTCATTTGGTGAGCACCATACGGAGCAGGAACACGGGTGGCTCTGCCACTCTCTGACTTCAAGCCTGTTTCTCTGTCTGCCCCTGAAGACATGGATCCAGAATCTGCACAACACGCCGTCCACCGTTTTCCTTTGTTAGAAACAAGTCGGAACACCCAGCCCATACTCATGGGAAGACGTGAGACTCCACAGGCCCTAAAGAAGGGGTTTCAAAGCTTTTTAAACTGCCATCACCTATGTACCAGCCCCAATCATTGACAATTCCCCCATGGACAGAATCAACTCCCCAGTTGGGCACTGTGAGGAGAACCATAATCCCACATTTGGGAGGCAGAAACGGGAAGAACCCCGGTTCAAGGTCAGTCTGGGAAACCTTAACTCAGAAAACAGGCATTCACCCGCCTCACTTCGCCTAAAACCCACTTAACCGGCAGTAAGTATCGCAGAGGCAAACCTGGGCTACTTTCCACAGAGGAGGATAGAGAGGGGAACGCCAAAGGGCAAGACCAAGAGCAAGAGCCGAATTCACCTCATAGCCCAAGCCCATACCTCGGAGGCTCAGATACACCCAGCCTCCTGGTGCAGTCCCTCAAGCGCGGCTCCATGGGGACAGGTCTAGCACCAGCGCTCTGTGCCTCCTGTTCAAATGAATGTGGAGGACAGCGAGTCCTGTGCTCTCGGTCATCTTTCATGACGCGTAGCCCAGGTTTGCATCTCTGATGCTTCCTGCCAGTTGATTTGGGGAGCCAACGGTATCTGGTGCTCTTGCTAACCCTGGACGTCCTCACTGAGCCTTCTCTCCGAGTCTCCTGAAAAGTTTATTGTCTCTTATGAACCTCATTGTGACAGCTGATCTCCATTGTCAACTTTATGGGATTTCAGCTCTCCATGGAAACAAACTCCTGGGCATATCTATGAAGGGGTTTCTTGATTCAAGTTAACTGAAGACCCACCATAAGCGTGTGTGAGTGGCACCATCCAGGGGCTGAAGTTCAGTACTTCGTAAAAAGGGGAGAGCGAGTTGAGCCCAGAATTCATCTCTCTCTACTTCCTGGCTGCAGATGCCATGTTACCAGTTCCCACATGTGTCTGCTGCCATGTCTTCACGGCCATGATGGACCAGCCCCTCAAACCATGGGCCTTAGCAGGCCCTTCTTTCCTTATGTGGCTTTTGTTGGGCATTTATGTAAATGAAAAAAGTAACATAGAGGTCCCTCTTTACTACAAGGAACTCTTCTTATGCCCCCCACTTCCACTCAGCACCTCTAAAAGGATGGATTCCCTCAGACTTCCTGGCACCTGGTTGGGACAGTCAGCTTCCAGGCTGCTCTTCGGGGATTTCCTGGCACCTGGTTGGGACAGTCAGCTTCCAGGCTGTTCTTTGGGGATTCCATCACCCATCCTTCTGCTGACTCTATCCCAGTTTCAGAGCACAGAGCTCATTAAGACCCTGGCGTTTAATCATAAAACCTGCAAGTTTTATGGAGCCCGTTTTACACACAAGCACGCCACTCAGTGTTGGGGAACTACCAGGGGGCCAGGACCACCTCATCCTCCTGTGGGTGGCATAAGATAGATAACACTGGAATTGGAGAATCATAAAGGAAAATTAGAGGCTTCCCTCCCCAGGGACTGCATCAGGAACGGCTTCCCTGAAGACCTGGTGTGTTAATGGGAGCATCCTAACTCATGGGGAAAGTAAACGGTATGCAAAAGTCCGTGACTCTAGGTTGGTTTATATAAACGACAATAGAGGCCTGGAGAACAAGGCCACAGGACTCAACCAGGAACCACCATGACCATGTCTGTCCATGCTGGTACAAGGGCAAAATACACACATTAAATCCCCTCCACAACAAGCATTTGTTGAGCAACTACTATGTTCCTGCCCTCAGAGAGTTTACAGTCTGGTGGGAGAGAGATATAGAGAGGACAGGGACCTGGTTATATATACAACCAGGGGGTGTGGTCAGTTCTTTGCGGGCAATAACTGAGAGTGGCTGGCATGGAGGAGCCCAGGAGGCTCCTTAGGTTGTGTGGAGGGGTATACTATGTTTGGGCTCAGCACCCAGAGCCTGATATTGGCTGGCGGAGAAGAGACAGGGGTGCCTGATATTGCGGTCTGAGGTTCTGCTCAAGGCAGAGCTGGCACAAAGGCTGTGGTTAGCGCGAGATTGGTGTACTGAAGTGGGGGGACTGGAGCTTGGGAAGAAAGGGCCTGAGAACTGGTTTCAGTGATAGGGCAGGCAATGAAGGGCACCCACGGAAGGGAGCCTTCGGAATACAGCTTTCGTCAGGAAGTGATGGGCATGTTACTGGACCCTGTATTTTCTTCTGACTTACCTCAACCGGGAGGAAAATGGCCCTGCTCAGGGAGGGGGTCTGTGGTATCTAGACAAGGCGGAAGGGCCAGCAGAGAGAACTCCTTTGAAAACCTGAGCTGTGAAGAGGTGGGAAGGGCACGGGATTCAGAACCTTGGGCCCACCAGAACACAGTCCCGGGTTCGCAGCCAATGGGTGACCTTGTTTGTCTCAATCCACAGCGCGGGGAGGCCTCTTGCTTATCACTCTCTTGGGTTTGAAAATGGCCCAGGTAATGTAAAGCCCTTTTAACATGCTAGGGATGCTTTATGTGCCCCGTGTCACCATCAACGCAAGAACCAGGCCACAGAGCCAGGGCTAGCCCTCTGACTCCCCACCCAGCTGGACTTTCCATTGGTCCCTCCCCCAGCAGGTTTGGCCTGAGATTGGTGGGCCCCGCCTCCTTGCCTCCTCGAGCTCTTCGGTCCAAGCTATCTCCATTCTCGGGACAGAGACTCGCTGAGGTCCCATTGCGTGGACTGTGGGTGACCAGCTGGGCTCCGGAGATTCCCAGCTTGGAACCCAAGCCTGAATTGGGGGCGGGAAGTCTCCAATCCAGCTAGGGATACTCAACCTTTTGAGATCGGCCCGGGGCAGCACGGTTCTTTGTAGGCGTTGGTGGCCCATTTTGCAGAAGAAAAAGCTGGGGCCCTCCAGGAAACGAGGCACCTGCGAAAGGATCGCCTGTTCAGGTTCCCTAGTCCACTTTCCAAAGCCCTCGCCCCATTCTCGGGATTGGGGAAGGATCCTCTGATTGGTCAGATCTAGGGGCCTGGCCCAAGGGCGTCCTGTGATTGGAGGGGTCCGGGCTGGGCGGACCCCGATGTCCGCTCCTCCCCTGTGCGTGGAGTAGGCGTGCTGACCCCAACCAGCTCCACCCCAGACTAGAGCTAGTGCACTGGTCTGGGAGCTTCGCTGCTCAGTGCGGACCCTCTCGCAGCTAGCTGGTACTTCTGGCTTCCAATCCCAGGACTCCGAGTCGGTGACCTTATTCTCCTACTCTCCCTCATTGACCTTGGGTAAGTTTCCTTTTGCTTTCGTTGTTTTGAGCGGGGCACCCCGAGCCTCTCCCCAACAGGCAGGCGCTGAACCTTGGAACCACAGCTCTTGCCCTGGGAAGTTTCTTTTTCCTTTTCTTTTTTGGAAGGAGGGCTTCCCTGAATAACCCTGGCTATCCTAGAACTTGTTCTGTAGACCAGGCTGACCTCGAACTCTAAGATCCATCTGCTTCTGCCTCCGGAGTGCTGGAATTATAGGAGTGCATCACCACGTCTGACTCATGCCCTGGGAAGTTTCTTAAGCGCTACTGAATCTTGGCTTCTTGATGTAAAATGGGGGGACAGGACACAACAGTGTTACAGTTCTGGCCCTAGGCAGCTGGTGGTGAGTGTTGACACTGTCTTCTGTCTAGATAAGTTCTCCGGGCCCAGAAGACAGCATTGTCATACTTTACAAAGGCATTTGAGACCCAGGGAAAGTGACAATTCACCCAGACCTAAGTTTAAGTCTGCAGGCTTATGAGATAGGTTGTCCTACCTTACCCTCTAGCTATACCCAGAATCATGGAAGTGTCTGATTGATCATGGCGCCCTAAGGGACATACCCATTCTCTGCCTGGAGCCACAGCAAAGAGACCAACATATGAGAGGATCAGCCTTGGGCAGTTGTGGGTGAACCTTGATAGCCACCAGGTCTGCTCCAGCCTGGGACTGCAGTAGGTTATGAACAGAGGGCCCCTGCTGCTGTTCTGCTGCCTTGAACCAGGAGCTGGAAGTGGGGACATGCAGAACAGGAGCCCCCTGAGTCCTTGAAGGCCTGATGCCACAGCAGTCCCTGGGGGTGCCCCAGCGTAAGACAGGGCTGGAAAGCCACACCATATCCTTGGGGCTCAGAGGCTCCCCAGCCCCTCCCATGTTATCTCTGTGGCCAAAGGCAAACTTTAAGTGAAGGACCCTCACTTTGTGTTCCTTCCTCTGCCTTCCTTCTTGTCCCTGAACTGTGATATTGGCAGATCTGCAGCAATCCTGACTGCCCCCCTTCAGCCAAAAGTGGGGTTTGTTTTGTTTGCTTGTATTTTACTCCTTTAATCTTTCTGCAAGAGATGTTCAGCAGGGGATGGAGGCAGGTGTGCTAGCACAGATCTGAAACCTGGGCGCTCAAGAGGCTGAGGTGAGAGAATGAGAAAGTCCAGGGCAGCCTGTGCTAATGCACTAACACTCCCTTGACAGAAGTCAACAGACACACAGAGGTAAGTACAGACACACAACACACACACCACACCACACACACACACACACACACCACACACCACACACACCACACCACACACACTACACACACACCACATACACCACACACACACTATACACACACACCACACACACACACCACACACACCACACCACACACACACACCACATACACACACCACACCACACACACACACCACACACATACACACACTATACACACACACCACACACACACACCACACACACACCACACACACCACACCACACAGAGAGAAAGAGAGAGAGAGAGAGAGAGAGAGAGAGAGAGAGAGAGAGAGAGAAATTGCAGTGAGTTGTTAACTCCTGGAGCATCTTGGTTTACATATTCCCAGCCAGCAACAATTTGCTGCATCCTAATGGCATGGTTTATGCACTGTCACACCGTGGTGTAAAACCCAGCAGTATAAAACGCCCCGGTTGTCCCCTGGT